TAAGTCTTGAATCATATAAAAATAATACCTACAAAAATATATTCACACATTAAGACTATAAAAGTATATACTCTATATATATATATATAACTAATTTTTTATTCACTTTTCCTTCTAATTTTGAATAAATATATTTTAGTGAGATGGAAGACATTAATTCTTTCACTTTTTTATTATTCCCATTTTTTTTACTTACCAAAATATGATGTTTTATCTATTTTTTTTTAATTTTTTATCTTTCTATTTTTTCATTATATCAAACAAAACATTAGGCAAACAGGAATCAAAAACTTCATGTGGTGAATTGTGAGTTATAAATACTTCACATAGTTTGACAATATTATATGACGATAGNCAAACAAAACATTAGGCAAACAGGAATCAAAAACTTCATGTGGTGAATTGTGAGTTATAAATACTTCACATAGTTTGACAATATTATATGACGATAGAAAAAAAATGGGTGGAGCTATTCCCTAACCACAATAATTCATACCTATCCTGTCACACTTTATTCCGGTCTTTCAAGGATGAAACGAGATTAGATTTTTGATACACCTGTTTACGTATATAATCTGGATTAATAAGACACTCTCACAAGTGCAACAATACCACCTATCACCTTAGTCATTAATCATGATGATAATACCTAACTCATAACATGTGCTATATATAACACATGTACCATTTTTTTTCCAAGCCATATACATATACAAAATCTCACACTCACATTGCATACATCACAAAATATACTTGTTGAGTCTGTTTGCAATTTTACACAATTAACTTGCTATAATAATCTCTTACTCAATATAATATACAACCAGTAAATAATTATATAGACACTCAACCTGTATCACTCAACTCATTTAAACATATGTAACAGACATACAACCTGAGTAATATCACACTAACTTTGCTGGACCAATCTAGACTGAACTCAACTCCATGAGACAGTACTCAACCTATTGGATAGTGGACTAATTTGCAAACTCTCTCTATAGTACCTACAAACAAAGAAACTATAGGGGTGTGAGCTAAACCATATGTTCAGTGAGTATACATATTGTTTATGAAATGAAAATGATAGTAATACACATAAGTAAGTAGATACTACATAGATACACGTATCGAACATCAACAACATCAATCTAATTTCAAAGAATTCACAAGCCACAACACATCCATACTATCCCTCATTGGATAGTCGATCCCATATGGATTTGTGTCTCTCGAACCTCTCGGGAACACCACAGTGCTAGCACACTACTGCACTCCCAGTGATCAGGCATCGACGCTCCTGTCTCAGACAGTGTACCACATTCCACAATACACAATACACAATACAAAACATCATTCAATCACATAAGCACGTAGCATATAATCCTGGAGAATTGTTATTAAATTCTATCATTTTATAATAGCATTTTCAAAACATATAAAGATACATACCCACCTTAAGTGTGCAGATTTACAGGCCTTCGGACCTATCGGTGGATCCTTTTGGTGTTACCGTATCTGTTTCTACACCGACTGCCCTACCTATTTCATCTAACACATTTATAATTAAAATATTAATATGTTTATCACATTTAATAGTTAATCATGCACTAATGCATGCAAGATAATTCAACCCAAAGTACCCCGTTAACCCTAGTTATTGCACTGTCCACTCATACACTGGCACATTAGATTTAAAACAGCTATAGTTAAACTTACACACACATTTGATCATGTAGAACAACCCCTTAATTGAACTCTTAAACCCTCCACTTCATTTCCACAAATCTTGATTTCAACCTAGCCCACTAGAAGCATCTCGAGCATCTCAAATGTTCGTTTTCTACACTTTTCTCACACCTGGTTGAATACCTACTTGAAACCCCTTCTTAACAACCCTTTAATTATGTTTAACACACTTCATTAGACTCACACAAAGTCTCTTTTGAAATCTAAATAAAACAGCCTACACACACATGCTTAAAATTAATCACACACACTAATATGAACACACACACCCCCTTATACATTTCTCTTGTTGTCTTCTTCTTGCCCTTTCTCACTCTTAGTTTGACATGGAGGTTTCCCCCAAGTTCCTCTTTTTTTCTTCTTTATTCTCCCTCTTGATTTGAACTAGAAGCACCACCAAAAGCTTGGTTTCTCTCTCACTCTCTCCCTCCTTGCTCACAGCTCAAGAAGACACACACATATATATTTTCTTCTCTCTCTTACTCTCTCTCACTCACGGTTTTAGGGGAGAAAGAACACACACATACTAAATCATGTTTTAAACACACACTCCACACCTTAGAAAATACAAACACACGACACACACATCCATCTACCATTCTAATTGACTCACCCACTTCATATTTCGACATGTGTAAGGATAACTCATTCCAATTTGATAATTACGCTTGCCTTCCCCCAAAGTTCTTAAGTGATTTTGAAATCGATCCACTACTATTTTCATATATGCAATTTCTATAAATGGATCTCACTAATACATTACTAACGGAGTCCACATACCCGATGTATGTTCACACACATCATGGTTATGAAAGGTTTATTTTAATTAATCCCTTAATAGTTTCACATAATTATAATTTGCCTACATAATTATGCTAATATGTATGTAATGTATGATCGGGTCTCACATACCCCATTAAATAGTCTACTATGAACTTACTAAGGACACCTTATTCTATATTCACTCCATTCATCACTAACTAGACCCCATTTATATCCATGTCTTCTTCCTCCTATTGCCCAAAGATTAGTTTTATACTATTCTATTCATGTTTTGTGTCTTCACAGGGTTGTGGAGCTTTCATGTATTAGTTTGCCCGCCCAATTTACACTATGCCTTTTTGCATGTAGTAGTGTCTCTTTCTCTGTGTGTTGTGTATTACAAATTAGAATGCTAATCTCCTTTTACTCTTCTCTTGATTCTTCTATCCATGGTTGCAGTTGAAGAACTCTTGCTTAAATTTCAGGTTGAACTCGATTTTTTAAAGTCGGGTCAAGTATTGTTGAAATTTAATTCAGATTGAAATTTTTTTTCCGAGTCCAACCTAAATATTAAAAAAATCAGATTGGGTTGTAGTTGGTCTCGAATTAGTTCACCCAGATTGCACAAAAGAGATAGGCATCTAATAGAATGTATTTAGTTATAAATGAGATGAATATAAAATTGGGTGGACTCTGGACAAAATTTGAGAGTTTTTTATTTAGTTTTACAAGTGTAGGTGGTAAACAAATGTACGTGCCTTGACTAAATTATCAAATTAGCCCTTAAGGTATAACCACTATACCAATTAACTATATTAATCAACAAACTATATTAAAATACGATACAAACTCACTAAATACGCTTTGATACAATGTGTACTAGACTTAAAACAAATTCAATTATAAATAAATTTAAGTTGACTTAAATAAAATTTGACAAAAAATAAATTAAATATAACGATAGTTTTAAAACTCATCCCGGACATCAACCTGGTAGAGGGACCGGGTCAATGAATCACTGGTTCAACCATTGGGTCACTGGTCAAACCGGTCATATAATAAAAAAATAAATAATAATTATAAATAATAATAAATAGGCTAAAAACACACAATAATTATGATAATAATAGCAAACATGTAAAGTTAAGTAGAGAAAAATCATCAAACATGTATCCAATGCATTTAATTTCTAATACAATTTGTAAATCTAAAGGTAAGAAGTAAAAAAATACCTCTATTTTTACTTCAAAACTCCAAGTCCCGGTCTTCAACTATGCATCAACCATTCAATCCAAGTATAATCCATATAATTTGCACTCTTCGAAGCATAAATTAAGATTCATAAGGCAATAAATTCAACATCATCTCATTTCACAGCATAAAAAACAACCAAATATTTAAAATCAATTTCAAGCCTAAAAATTTCTAGTATCAATAATATCCTAATAATATTGTAACCTACAAAAAAAAAATGTAACCCACAAACTAAGAGACCAATGTTTTGAAGCTTAATATCACAGTGAGCATACTCATTCATGTGAATATAGTGAAGTCCTCTTAGTAATGACTTCGTGTATTGTTGGATGTTTGATTCCGATACTCGATGTTCACCGGAATTTTTAAGCTCATCAACTAAAGACCCTCCAAATCTAGAAGCATACTCCAACAAGATATTGTACAATTTCATCAGCTAAAAACCCTCCAATACCTTCTTTTCGTTCATTAACAAAACAGAGTGTGAAGCATCACAAGATTTCACGGCCATTAATGGAGGAAATTGTGGGCTCTGGCTTCTAGGTATTGCAAGATTGACTATCCCAAAGCTTCCATGGCAGATTGTTTCACCACGTACCCACTCCATGGGTATGCTTTGAAACAGTGAAGGTGAAGGAACAATTAGGGCAGTGAAGTTGTGAACAATCAGCCATGGAAGCTTAGGACACTGAAGAAAGAGTGAAGGTGCATGTGTGTGCGTGTGAGAGAGAGAATGGGGAAGGAACGATTAGGGCAGTAAGACAAAAATGCTAAATAGTGAAGGTTTGAGTAACTCGGCCGATTTAATGATTTTTATCGATTTTTTTTCGGGTCACCGGATTTTCTCCGATTTTGGTGCGTAAACGATCCAATAGGTGAACCAGTCCGGTTTAGACACCGGGTCACCATGTCAACCCGCCGGGTTTTAAAACACTGAATATAACACTACCTTTACACAACCCATCAGAGTTGTAGTCCAAGTGTGTGTTTGCTGCTTAGTGTCTACTCCGAACCTTGGGTAGATTTTGAATTTCATCTTTAATCACTGATTAAAAAAATTATAAATTATAAAAAAAATCATAAAATAAAAAGAAATTCAAAAAATCCTTTTTCTTTCTTGGGTAGATTTTAGTACCGTAACGGGACCCACTGCCTTGCCTTCTTTCGTCCATCCAGGAGGCAGCGAAAAAGAAAAAAAAAATGTCTATGGCCAGTAACATAAATATGTTTCCCTAACAGGATATTAACGTTAATTTCGCAGGTGCGCCGTTGTTACTACTAAATCTTATATTCTCTTTCAGTTCCCCGTATCAATTTTTATGCCGATTTCTCCAGAGTCAGACACCATCGTTACCTTCCGCTCTCCTCGAATTCCCAAAACTGATTGAGCCCCTTTCGCAAACACTCCCCCATCGATTTCTCATCCCAGACTTAAAAGGTACGATCTTGGAATTTATATTTTATTCTCTCGCCTTCTAGGGTTCTTTGCACTAAATTTTGCTTATGCTAATTTAATATCAATTTAAATCCTTGATTTCTTGGGGGTTCTGTCATTAACCATATTTAATTTTTCTGGGTTTTGTAGGACTGTTACAAAAGTTGTGTGTATGCGGTGGGTGGGTTTGGAGAACTGAGTGGGTTGCCTTTCAAAGACTACGAATTTTAGAGAGTGAGGTTTTGAACGTTAGGGCTTTCCATTTTTATGGAGGGTTTATTGTATATAGTTTACGTTAATCTGTTGTTAATTTTGACTTCACAAGACATTCTGACTCAATGTTGGTCCCAAACAAAGGATCATGCTTTTTGTATCTGAAGCTTTTATGTTACCATCTGGCAGTCTCCTATATCTTTTCTCATATTAGCTTGTACTGGGTCTTTTCCATCTCGTGAATTCGACTTTGAGTTTAAAACGTTGGATTTCGAATGCTATGGCTTCTTATCGTACACAGTTTCTAATGTTTGTTGCTTGTGCTGATATAGTGACTTGACTTTTATTGCAAGCTGGGCAGTTACTGATTTTTACCCACGTGCAAATTCATTGCTTTTCCTCTGAAGAATTCCAATTGTTTTTTTTTTCTCTTTTCGATTTTAGTTAGGTTATGGCTGGAAAGAAAGTGATAGTTATTTGTCAGTCAAGTGGTGAATTTGAGACCGATGAGGATGGTTTACTGTCATACAAAGGTGGGGATGCTCATGCTATGGAAATTGATGATCAAATGACTTATATTGATTTCAAGATGGAGGTAGCAGAGATGTTTAACTGCAATCCCAGTACCATGTCTACCAAATATTTCCTTCCTGGAAATAAGAAGACTCTTATCACAATCTCCAATGACAAAGATCTTAAGCGCATGATCAAATTCCATGGTGACTCCAGTACCACCGATATATATGTTATGACAGAGGAAGTAGTTGTGGCTGATGTCTCAAACATGCCTGCCAGTAGGTAGTTCTCTTGCTGGCTGATAATATGTTTTTGATTGTATTGGGATAGACCATTTGGAAGTATTTGATCTTTGCAGGTCAAGTAGGACGACTTTGTCAGAAGCAGGGATTCTAGTTGATGCTCCTCCGAGTGTTGCGGACGATGTTGTGGATGACACCACCCAACCTGATCTCCTGCTTGATGCCACTTTTGATGTTATTGATGACACAACCCACGTTGATGCCCAAATTGATATACCCCCTGAAATGCCTTGCCTGCTATCTTTTGTTGGTTCCAATGATGAAAAACATGTTAAAGCTGCACAGCTATGGCAGAACAATATTACAGGTGTGGGCCAAAGGTTCAATAGCGTACATGAATTTCGTGAGGCATTGCGTAAATATGCCATTGCACATCAGTTTGCTTTTAGGTATAAGAAGAATGATAGTCATCGTGTGACTGTTAAATGCAAAGCGGATGGTTGTCCATGGAGAATTCATGCATCAAGGTTGTCAACCACCCAACTAATTTGTATCAAGAAAATGAATCCGGCTCATACATGTGAAGGGGCAGTTGTAACGACTGGGCATCAGGCCACAAGAAGTTGGGTGGCAGGTATCATCAAGGACAAATTGAAAGTTTTTCCAAACTACAAGCCAAAGGATATTGTCAATGACATCAAACAGGAATATGGAATCCAGCTAAACTACTTTCAGGCCTGGCGTGGGAAAGAGATTGCTAAGGAGCAGCTTCAGGGCTCATATAAAGAGGCCTATAGTCAGTTACCTGTTTTCTGTGAGAAGATAATGGAAACAAATCCTGGTAGTCTTTCTACTTTCACCACAAAAGACGACTGCAGCTTTCATCGCCTTTTTGTATCATTCCATGCCTCATTGTATGGCTTCCAACAAGGTTGTCGGCCTCTGCTTTTCCTTGATGGCATACCCTTAAAATCAAAATACCAAGGGATACTGTTGACTGCGACAGCTGCCGATGGGGATGATGGTGTTTTTCCGGTCGCTTTTGCTGTAGTAGATACAGAATCTGCTGATAATTGGCGTTGGTTTTTACTACAACTTAAAACTGCATTATCAACATGTCGCTGTATAACTTTCGTGGCAGATAGAGAGAAGGGACTAAGAGAGTCAATTGTTGACATATTTCAGAACGAGGATGTGTATCATGGCTACTGTTTGCGCTACCTTTCAGAGCAACTTATACGAGATTTGAAGGGGCAGTTCTCTCACGAAGTGAAGCGTCTTATGGTTGAGGATTTCTATGCTGCAGCTTATGCATCTAGGCCTGAAGGCTTCCAAAGGTGTGTTGAAAGCATCAAAAGTATTTCATTGGAAGCTTACAACTGGGTCATGCAAAGTGAGCCTGTTCATTGGGCAAATTCTTTCTTCCAGGGTGCAAGATATAACCATATGATGTCGAATTTCGGTGAGGTGTTTTATAGTTGGGCAGCGGATGCACATGAATTACCAATAACCCAGATGGTTGATGCAATACGGGGTAAGATCATGGAGTTGATTTATACTCGGCGGGCAGATTCCAATCAATGGCTGAGAAGGCTAACTCCTATGACGGAGGAAAAACTAGAAAAGGAACGCCTGAAAGTCCGTCCTCTTCAAGTGTTAATCTCAACTGGTAACAGATTTGAGGTACGTGGTGACTCCAATGAAGTGGTTGATGTGGATCACTGTGATTGTAGTTGCAAAGGTTGGCAGCTGACTGGTTTGCCTTGTTGCCATGCCATTGCCGTCATTGGTTGCCTTGGCCGCAATCCATATGATTATTGTGCTAGATACTTCACAGCTGATAGCTACAGATTAACTTATACAGAGTCGGTACATCCTGTTCCAAATGTAGATATGCCTGAGCAGGATTCTTCTCAGGGTGCAGTGACTGTAACCCCGCCTCCAACTCGTCGTCCGCCGGGCCGGCCTACTACTAAGAAAATTGGATCTCAAGAGATAGTGAAACGTCAACTCCAATGCAGTAAATGCAAGGGTACGGGGCACAACAAATCAACTTGCAAAGAGCTTTTGTCGGGGTGCTAGAATGTGTAAGTACATACTTACGGTGTTTTTCCGCTGTATTTTCAACTGTGTACTGTTATGATGCCCCCAGTGGGGTCCCACTACTCATTTTTGTGGACGATGTAGTCTATAGATGTGGATAACAAAAAATTTGATTAAATTTAGGTCATCTCCAACAATGTCTCAAAACTTTTATTTGTAAGTAAACTGTTTTAGCTCATTTTTCGGAAAGAAATTACTTTTATTATTTTGTTACGTTTTAAAAAGTAACTATTTTAGCCCAAACGAAGATATGTTTAGCTATCAAAAAATGAGAGTTAAAAGAAGCTGTTACCTTGTGGCACTTGAGCTTTTCATGCTTCTATGGGCCTAGATCTGATGATTCTTACCTGCAAATTTCGCCTAGCACAAAAGCAAATCATAAGTGGTACCTGCTATCAACTACAGCATGTGGCAGCTCAATCTTCTGAGAGAGTCAGACAAACTACTCAAGATTTGCAATTGGCCTTGAATGTACCCTGTGCACACATACCCTGAAATGATATAATATTTCATTTTCTACTTAGCACTGTAGCTGATTTAGTTTTTTGGGAGGGGTTTGTGTAGTAATGGAAGACCTTAAGAGTCATGGATATAACATCTATCAAGTGAGACTCAAGTTAAGTTTCACTTGAGTTTGCAAGCATGGGATGCGGGAACACTTGTTTGAACCACGACTGCAATTCAGGTGTGATTTGCAAACACGTGTCAGGCGCCAAACTTGATTTGAGGCATCAGTTTTTGGTTCTTAATCTCTGGGTTTTGTCTATAGACAGGCCAATATTGTGAGTAGTGCATCAGACTTTGACGTTGAACTAAAATTGAGACACGGAGTTGAAAATGTTTTTCTACTTCTTCTGCATCAATAGGTATCACGACAAATTTCTCCTTTTGGTCCTGTGTCAATGGGTGTTAGACTTAGAGCCCAACTTCGACCAATGGCCAGTGCTTCTTGTTGTCCTCACTGTTAGGGCCAAACCACATTCCAAGATCACTGTCACTGTCGAGCACTATCTTCACCGATGACTTCCTGGAACCGACCACTGTTACCACCCTTCATCATTGATGAGGTAGGAGACAAGTAGTAAACCTGTCGACTTCCCGTTGATTCAGAAAGTTGATCTAGTGGTGGTGAGAGAAGGGAGAACAGGGCAAAAAAGAAAAGAAGAGACACAGTGGTCCTTCTGTAATTTGTCTTTGTTCTAGGATGTAACATGATTAGAAAGATACTTGGTTTTAGTCTCTATCACTATGACAGGAGTTGAGAAGAGAAATGATATGTCTCTCATAGTTGTCTTTCATAGTCTGGAGGAATGAAACTCAGATGACAACTTGATGGCCACTTGGAACTGAAAAAGACCGAGGCTTCAAGGTCTTGGCGAAACCCTAGGACCATAGGTCCAATTTCTTCTTGTGCACTGGTCATTCTCACATTCTCTACCAAGCATTTACTCAGTTTCTGTAGTGCTCTTATTTTGTTCTTTTTTTGTTTTATTTTCGATTCTTGTGTCATTATGATCATATAGTCTTTCTAATGTTCGATGGGATTAATTTATTGAGTTATCGGAAATGTTGAACACATAAAAAAAAAAAAAAAAAAATTCAGTTTCATATTATATTTGATCTTTTTGCATAGATGGTTGGTTGCTCACTGGTTTTGTTATCGAGCTTTATCAAGTTTCAATCCAACGTGGTGATGTTAGTAGACTAATAAATCTGGTCTTCCTTTTTCAGGGTTGCATCAATGGACAAATAGGCTTATGGCTCTTGGTGTTACTTAAATGGAAGCTTTTTCGCTTATTTATTTGTTTTTTCAATTTGTATTTCTAACATCAAAGTCTAATTAGTTTGACCCATGTATTATTATCAAGGGGAGAGATGTAGATGGTCATTTAACAGCCTTGCTGTTCGAAGATGGCTCCGTTTGCTATTGTAGATGTCAAGTATCCATAGACCCTTTTAAGATGTGCCCCTGATGATGATAGGTGTGCCCCTCCCCTGATGAGTAATGAAATGATTTGCCTACCCAAATGTTTATCATTTATTGTTTACTAAATGAACGTGGATAATGAAATCAGTGAATCTCATTGAAAAAAGTTCATGACCCATGTTAGTTTGGTAAAAAAAAATTGGTCAAGTGTAGTATTGTTTTAAATGGATAGTACTCTTTTAAGGGTTTTGGCCTCTTTTTAAGCAAGAGGTATTAGGTTTGATATTTTTTACGCTCCTTGAGGGTCAATCAATCTTATTCTTTATGGAACACGTTCTTAAATTAGTTAGTTTGAAATACGATGACCATCTTAGAATTTTATAGAATAGTTGGGGTAAGTCTAACCAAAATAAATTAGATAGTACTCTCCTCTGCTGTAATTGTACAGGAATCTTTGAACCCACCCATCCAGCCCCTTTTATTTTCCTTCAACCTTGCTATGATTCCAATCCCTATTTTGGATTCATAAAGAATTCATTGGCGTATATGTTTTTCCTTTGGCTTCTTTTATAACAAATTATTCCTACCTCACCAAATTTAGAGACTTTTTTTTGGGGGTAAATACCAATTTTAGAGAGATGATTTTTAAGAGTAGATCTATATTTGTCTTTTAATCATTGATTGGGACCTGTAAAAGTCAGCCTATGTGGAGTACGTTTGATAGTTGGATAGTACAGTATTACACCAAACAAACTAACATTTATAGTAGTACTAGCACTTGTACTATGACAAACAACTTCTATCTCTCCCTACCACTTTATATGCTCACCATTTTACCAACACATACGTAGGCCTCAATGTTCCAACTTGGGCATTTAATTTTTTTTTGTTTTTTCTCGTCTACAAGTTACGTTTATAATTGCTTTGCGACAATTTGGCAAAGGGATTACTGGATATTTATCGGCCTATAAGGTGACATATATGAGAGAGGCAGAAAGGGACGAGGCAGAGCATGAAATGGCGAATGAGGTGATACAATATGTCGCCGCCCTTTCCATGCACTGCCTCTTCCCTGGCTCTCTCTCTCTCTCTCTCTCTCTCAATTTGTCCAAATACTTCTTTTTTTTTTTGATAAAAGATGAAAGAATAGTTCATTCTATCCTCATCACGCAATTGCTTACAAGTCTATTTTCATGTATATATAGAAGATGGAAACATAGTATGGGCTTCATTCCATTGATTTAGAGATCTGTGTCCNTTGGCCTCTTTTTAAGCAAGAGGTATTAGGTTTGATATTTTTTACGCTCCTTGAGGTTCAATCAATCTTATTCTTTATGGAACACGTTCTTAAATTAGTTAGTTTGAAATACGATGACCGATCTCAGAATTTTATAGAATAGTTGGGATAAGTCTAACCAAAATAAATTAGATAGTACTCTCCTCTGTTGCAATTGTACAGGAATCTTTGAACCCACCCATCCAGCCCCTTTTATTTTCCTTCAACCTTGCTATGATTCCATTCCCTATTTTGGATTCATAAAGAATTCATTGGCGTATATGTTTTTCTTTTGGCTTCTTTTATAACAAATTATTCCTACCTAACCAAATTTAGAGACTTTTTTTTGGGGGTAAATACCAATTTTAGAGAGATGATTTTTAAGAGTAGATCTATATTTGTCTTTTAATCATTGATTGGGACCTGTAAAAGTCAGCCTATGTGGAGTACGTTTGATAGTTGGATAGTACAGTATTACACCAAACAAACTAACATTTATAGTAGTACTAGCACTTGTACTATGACAAACAACTTCTATCTCTCCCTACCACTTTATATGCTCACCATTTTACCAACACATACGTAGGCCTCAATGTTCCAACTTGGGCATTTAATTTTTTTTTGTTTTTTCTCGTCTACAAGTTACGTTTATAATTGCTTTGCGACAATTTGGCAAAGGGATTACTGGATATTTATCGGCCTATAAGGTGACATATATGAGAGAGGCAGAAAGGGACGAGGCAGAGCATGAAATGGCGAATGAGGTGATACAATATGTCGCCGCCCTTTCCATGCACTGCCTCTTCCCTGGCTCTCTCTCTCTCTCTCTCTCTCTCAATTTGTCCAAATACTTCTTTTTTTTTTTGATAAAAGATGAAAGAATAGTTCATTCTATCCTCATCACGCAATTGCTTACAAGTCTATTTTCATGTATATATAGAAGATGGAAACATAGTATGGGCTTCATTCCATTGATTTAGAGATCTGTGTCCCTTTGGCTTGATGCAATTCATTCTGGACATGTACTCTAAGCTTGTTGAGTTGTACCTATTGAGTAATTGCTCCTTGATTACTAACCACCCAACAGGAACAGGGTGGGAGTGAAATAGGAAAAGACCAGACTGACAAAAACTATTCCTTTGCTCTTAACAAGGGGTTATTTTTTTTGGTCTCAATTACTTATTTTAGTTTGGACAACACCAACATTCTGTGTGGTTGTGGAGTTTTTCCTTTGGAGATAGAAGAATGCTGTGTGTTGGTATTTGAGTTGGGTTAGAATCCGATCCATAACCCACGGGCCTTGAAATGGGCAATTGGATTGACCATGGAGTTTGAATTCATGTACTGTACAGATTGGATTCAAACTCTCACCTCGATAAAAGGAAATCCAATTGCTTATGAGAGAGAGAGAGTTCTCTAGGTTTATCATATTTGTCTCTTCAATTTTGATCAGGAAGAACAAGGAGGACCAGTTTGGTAGCCACTCTATGGAGCGAGTTCCTTTTCTGAGACTCACAACACAAGTACAAGATCCGTTACTATAATTTGAGTTTGTAATTTAGGTAACTCGAATACTTGTATTTGTTGTATGTGATCTGTAATTTTCGACACTACAGGTGAAAGGATTCTCCTTGCTTTCGAAATTCGGATAATCAACTTGGTGGAACAAATGGAAAAGATGCAATTGCCCAAGGTTAAATCGATCAAGTCCTGCTGCTTGGGAGATGCAGGTGCTCACAAGACAACCGTGCTCTAGGTTAGGCTGACTTAGTCATGGCCTGTGTCCTTTTTCCTTTCCAAAGGGCTTTCATAAGATTTTTTGTCCATAGATGTCAAGTTTGGCTGACACACCATTGAGTCACTTCTTCAATTTCCAAGACACAAACATGCAAGTTTGTGGATAAGGTTGCAGGATTTATTGTTTAGCTAACATCATTTTATTGTAATTTGAACATCAAATATTTGAATTATCAAAATAATTTATTGTCGATAAATAGTATAGAGATCCTGATTATTTAAAAGAAAATTGATGGATCCTCTAATTTAGAGCAAAAAAGCGCACACAAAAAAAAAAAAATCAAAAACCAAGGAGATGACGTCGTTTTGNTATTGTCGATAAATAGTATAGAGATCCTGATTATTTAAAAGAAAATTGATGGATCCTCTAATTTAGAGCAGAAAAGCGCACACAAAAAAAAAAAAATCAAAAACCAAGGAGATGACGTCGTTTTGCAAAATTCTCATTAGTTACACTTAGAAGTGTTCAAATTTTCGATTGACCGTAATTTCCTACTCTGTCCGACCCTACTGAACGGTTAGCCGCAAAAAATCGGGTAAGAATGTAGAAGAGTTTTTGGTCTTCCGATTAAATCGAGTAGGAATGCGGAATACCCATCAATTTTTGCATTCCTACCCTACCCTACCCTCAAAAATTATATTTAACTTTTTTATAATTTTTTAGTAATTATAAGAGTATTTATGTGGTATAATTTGTATTATAACATTGTTATTGTTGTGGATGTTTGAGTTGCTAAAACATTGACTTATTTTTTATGTAAGTTACATTAGTTGTGGTGAATTGGTGATCTATTTGAGCAGTTATAATTTTAATGTGTTTCATATGGTTTAAACTTAAAATAATTGTTATTGTATTNTTGCATTCCTACCCTACCCTACCCTACCCTCAAAAATTATATTTAACTTTTTTATAATTTTTTAGTAATTATAAGAGTATTTGTGTGGTATAATTTGTATTATAACATTGTTATTGTTGTGGATATTTGAGTTGCTAAAACATTGACTTATTTTTTATGTAAGTTACATTAGTTGTGGTGAATTGGTGATCTATTTGAGCAGTTATAATTTTAATGTGTTTCATATGGTTTAAACTTAAAATAATTGTTATTGTATTAATATAACAATTATAATAGATTGATGTTCATACTCTCTTGTGTTTTACTGTAATTGTTGTTGTAGTTGTTTTAGGTTTTTAGTGTTATTGATTTATAGTGTTGTTAAATTGATGCATGTTATTTAACTGAATTGTTAAAATGATCCAAAAATTCATAGGTACAAAAGTGTTTATCCGACTTCCTACCTGATTACCACACCTGATCGAGTAGGGTAGGTCAAGAAATTTTTTTTTTGCAAAATATCGAGTAGNTAGTGTTGTTAAATTGATGCATGTTATTTAACTGAATTGTTAAAATGATCCAAAAATTCATAGCTACAAAAGTGTTTATCCGACTTCCTACCTGATTACCACACCTGATCGAGTAGGGTAGGTCAAGAAATTTTTTTTTTGCAAAATATCGAGTAGGAAGACGAAAGACTATATTTCCTACCCGTATAGTAGGGTGAACACCCCTAGTAACAGTCCAGCTTCCGGCACGACTACGCGTAGGGTGAACACCCCCACTAACACTCCAGCTTCCGGCACGACACCTTTTCTATTGCTCTAACGTGTTAAAAAGCTAAAAGAAAAAAACAACACAAGACCTTTTCTATCGGTGAATAGGTGTATAATCTCCAGGGAACCACCTCCAGCTCTTCTACTTTGGCATCCAAGTAGGGCGGAACCAGACTTCAACTCTAGTGGGGGCAACTTTCAGTATATGAATGCTCAAATTCGGAGTGTTAATACTATTTTATAAAAAGATAGTTTCATCGAAATAACATATACAAGTAATATACAAAAAGAGTTGACCAAAAAAGTTCACCATAAAATTGTATCAAACAATTACTTTTGCATCAAAAAAATAGTGTCCTTTAATGAATTGATTCAATACATAAAAAAAATCCAAATTCTTGAAAATTTCATAATTGTTTCAATAAATTTTCACAA